CACAATAAGCTCTATGTCTGGAAAGGAAGATGAAGGAAAAAGCTCCTCTCCCACACACTTTTAAACTGATGAATTCCCCAGCACCTTCCCAGCGAGTATCTTCTTCCACCACTGACCTTCTCAGGGAATCCTGCAGCTTTGGGCTACACCTTTTCACGAGCTCAGCCGCATCCTTCCCACCGGCCGTGCCGAGGGCGGCTTCCTATCGTCTGAGGTGGGAAAAGATCACCAACAGTAAGAGACTGGCCACCTCCCCAGGCAGTAGGTGCTGGTACAGAGGAGTGTAACCAGCTCAGCATCCAACACTCAAAACTAAAATTCCCAAGAGGAATCATCTAGATACATTGCTTACCGAGCTGGGCAGTGGCTGGGTCCTCCCTCCTGCTCAGGAGGAAGGCTGCCATTAGCCACACAAGTCAGTCTCCGAAAAGTTGGCATTTTTTTCTCGCAAGCTATCATTTAATGGCAGGAAAATCCTCTGTATCAGAGGAGGATTAGCGGAGATGGAAGAATGTGTCTGTCCTCTAAAGCTCCCAAAGCAAAACAGGGATTGCAGACAAACCAAACTGATGCTTTCTCCCCTCTGCCAACCTAGTCTCCCCCCCTCCATTAAAAAAAAAGAAAAAAATACAGTCCAGAATTGGACCGCTGCCATTCAAACAGCCTTGCTGAAAGTCATTACTCCACTCCCCATTATATAATGGCAGAGGAGGTGGGAGCGGAGGGTGCAGCCAAAATGGGATTATATTTGGGGGCAAGCACAGGCTTATGATTTCCCTTTGATGACCTCTCGAAACAGACACAGCTTGGGACTCTCCTCCCCCATGCACGCTCTCCCAGCCCCAGCGGGGCTCACACGCTCCTAACAGGGGTACCGGTACGCTTTGTTTTGCTGGGAACGGCTCCTGAAGGGCAAGGAGATGTCAGCAGCACTGGGAGAAGGGTTGGCAAACGCAGGAGCTTGCAGGGTATAGATGGCCTCGCTACCAAGGAACTCTGCCCTGTCTACAAGTGTGTTTTCCTTGCAATGCTGCAGCTGGCATGTGGAAATCATAAGGACAGGTTCTGTATGTGGTGATGTTTTAGCATTCAGGATGTGAATTGGTTTTTGAAGCCTTTTCTGACAGAATGATGATGGTTTCTTTGGAGAATAGGGGCTGAATAAGTGAGTTAT